AAAATCATGGAGGAATCTAAAGTAATAGCCTTGTTAAAACCAGGAAAGGATCCAAAAAACCCCAGTAGCTACAGACCTATTTCGCTATTGTGTCACTTTTTTAAACTATACGAGAAACTGATACTCGACAGAATAGAAAAAATGTCGACAAGTACCTCATTCCACAACAAGGAGGATTCAGACCTGGCAAATCTTGCACCGGTCAAGTCCTCGCATAAACAGAACACATTGAAGAGGGCTTTGAAGAAAAACTTATAACAGTGGCTGCTTTTGTAGACCTGACAGCAGCCTATAACACAAGAAGGCACAAAACATTGCTCCGCAAATTATACGACACTCTCAATGACCACCATCTGGGAATGGTCGTATATTCCTTACTACAAAATAGACGGGTAAAGTAAGTAGGTATAGAGTTTAAAAAAATGGCCTCCCACAAGGAAGTGTTTCAGCACCAATGCTTTTCAATATATACACAAACGACCAACCTACTCCGACCAAAACCAAGCACTTCCTCTATGCTGACGATCTTGCAATATGTGCTCAAGGAAATGGTTTTGAAGAAGTGGAGGAGAAACTCGAAACTGCCTTAAAAACAATGACATCGTACTACCTGCAGAATTCTCTGAGACCCAATCCCTCTAAAACCCAAGTCTGCGCTTTCCACCTTCGAACAAAGGAAGCCAAGCGAAAACTCCAAGTCGTGTGGAATGGTAATACATTAGAACACACAAACCAACCTATATATCTTGGAGTAACTCTGGACCGGTCCCTCACCTACAGACAACATTGCATAAAAACGAAATTGAAAGTAACAACTAGGAACAGCATATTCAGAAGCTAACGGGAAGTAAATAGGGCGCACGTCCTGGCTTTTTATAAACAACGGCACAGGCACTGTGTTTCTCAACTGCTGAATATGAGTGCCCCGTTTGGAGCAGATCTGCCCACACCAAACAAGTTGATACTGCGCTAAATGAGACATGCAGGATAGTAACGGAGTGCATGAAACCAAAGCCACTTTCAAATCTATATAGAGCAGCGGGTTTTGCAGAACCTTCAACACGCAGAGGCGCTGCAGAACACATAGAGAAAATTAAACAGATCGCGGACGAGCGGCATGCCCTATACAAAGCTCGAACACCACGAAAGCGACTAAAATCTAGGAAAAGCTTCCTTGGAACAGTGCAGGATGAACTGCCTGAGTATTTTCCACTTCCCCAGGTTCAATGGACCGGCCAGACCCTATACTTTAAAACGTGGAGAACTTTGAATAGGATAAGAACGGGGGTCGCTACAGTGAAATCAAACATGGCAAAATGGGAGAAAATAGACCAAGATTATGTGAACTGTGTCTATGGAGAAACACAGAATATGGAACATCTTCTTACATGCAGAAACTGTCCTCATCGATGTACCCTTAAAGATTTGTGGCTCGCCAACAAAGATGGAATCGATGTAGCCCGATACTGGGCCGAAATTGTATGAATGACATGTCCGGACACGATAAAGTAAGTAAAGTAGTTCATTTCCTTCGTCCATTTTTCTTGTATTGGTAGATCTATGAAGTTTTTTGATAGTGTGTTCTTAAAGAATCTACTGTATTAAAGAAGATATTTCCTTAGTCATTGCTGACCCTTTTCTTCTTTTTCATTACTTACTTTGCCAATAAGTATATTTCGTTATCTTGTATAACTTACTTCTTTGATGTAATATCTTTAAATTTGATTTCTATTATTTCAATCACTTTGTATTTGACCATTTAACTGTACAAAATATAAGTGTCCACAAATAATCTAAAACACCCTTCACATAGCTCTAAATTTACATAAACGACTTATATTCTAAACGTATTCATGTCACGACAAACAGAACTGACCACAAAAGACTAATAAAACTGTCAGACATCAAAGTATAGCACAAAATAAGTGTCAACGATATCTCCTTGCTTTAATCAACCTATTCCTGTGAATTGTTTGTGTGTTAGCATGCAAATGTCCTGTCCAAGAGCAAAAAGACTATCATTATTACCACTTCCTTTTAATCCTTCACGTCTAGATAACATCATTGTTATAAAGTGAATTTAACGCAAGACGAAACGCAACAAGCAGAAGATAATCACCGCCTACTTCTCTTGTTTGATTTTTATGTATGTGCATGTGCATGCCTTGTCTTATTTGATAAGATGAATGAGCGAGACAAACAGCAAACAGCTGCTGTGTTATATGCATTTCAGATTAAAATATATTTTTGTTTTCTGCACCATGACGAAAGAGTAATTTTATGTAAGATTTAGTATTTGGTGGCTAATTCGGCTCCGCTTTTCTGACAGGAGTTTAGCTGGAATGGAATTAGCAAATAAATTTTAATTCTATTCTGAATATTGTCCAGGAAAAAAAGAAAGTGCAAATATACCATTCTCTCTTCAATTATTAAAAAAAATGAAAGTGGAAGTTGGCATTATTGGAATCAATCAAAAAATGCTTTCATAAAATAAGGGACATTTTTATATAAAGCTTTACTCGTACATGAAACGTTGTTTTACTTAACAGGTATACATTGACCATGAGATCAGAGTTTAGTATATATCAATAACCACAAGTCATAGTCATAAGTAACTAGAGAAGGCCAACTGGGAATTATTTCAGAGTACTCTTGAAATGGAACTAAAGAATGTTGTATACTCTGATAATTGTCATAAAGTGACATTTACTTCGAATAGAGTAATCAATACAAACGCCAAAGCTTCTATCTAAGAAAACATACCCTTCATTCCTAAACATGGACAAAAATCGATTTGGTGGGACGATGAATGTGCCACACAGTTACAGTTTAAGAAGAATGCTCTTAAGTTATACTAAACTTCATACATTCTGAATAACTTTCTCGAATATAAAAAGATAGAAGCTACAACTAAGAAAATGTTTAAACATAAAGTCAAAATCACATGGATAAATTTTTGTTCTAGCCTTACCTAGCTTCCCAATAACTCAAATATGGAAGATGAAATCACTCCAAATGAAGCCACACTGGTTCTAGCCTCAGAAAACCTGCTCTCATTACGCGAAGAATATCTGCTAAGCAAATATTTCCCAACCCAACAACAAATACAGCTGATTTAACATCTATCTCTTTGGATATACAACATCTAAGAAGTCACTCTTCTACAAATATTTTTTTTATTGACACCTTCACATCAACCCGAAGGTTGATGTGAATATGAGATAGAATAGAGAGTATGGGACACTTGAGACAGACGGTCAAAGTCCATTCTGACCTCACTGTCGGTAAGCGATGAATTTGCATTACCGGCCGAGCAAGAACCTTAGCCAAGACCGTAACCAATTGTACGTAAATTTTTCTCATTTTCCTTATCTAATGGCAACTGTCAGTTCTTCTTCGTCTGTCAACTGTCAATTCTTCTTCTTCTCCGTAACTAATGTTAGAACGAAGCCACCGACCAATGGGAACAAAGTCCCATCCACAACAAAGTCCCGTCCACCGACGCCACAAACGATTTGTTCGCTCCTTCTTATAAGCAGCCGTTAACTGTCATTAGAATTGTCAAATACTCCTCTACGCGTCGACTGTCAATTCTTCTTCTTATTAGTAACCGGTAGCTGTCATGTCAATTGTCAAATCTTCTTATTTTGGTCGAGCTATCTTTCATTTCTTCTTCTTTTCGTCTATCATGTCAATTCTTAAATCTTCTTCTTGCGTCGACTTTCAAGTCTTCTAACTAACAAACGAGATAGTGCACTATGGATCATAATAATAATTATTTTACAAACAACAGACTTCATGATAGTTGTCAATTCAGAAGGAGCTTACCGATAATTGATTTTTAATGGTAATTGCTTTTGAGCAAAAAAAACGAAAAATATAACGCAAAACTGCACCAATTTTCACAGAATTCTTGGAGCAGAATACTTTAACTTTAACAAAACCTGTTAAATTAGCGCGTTGCAAATCTTTATAATATTAGATATTAGATATTTACAAAAGTAATAACATTTAAATAATTTAGCATATTTTTGTGAAAAAACAATTTGCACCAAGTGCTTTTCTCTTGATCTGTTGGGATACCGTAATTGTTTCTTGATTCTTTTGTAATTAAAAAACTTATGTGTAGCACTGGTATGACCTAATCTAAGACGGGTTATTGTCACTTGATCTCTTATTTTGGGTGGGGAAACATTTCCAAGGTTTAATTTTCGGTTTAATATTTCGAAGATTAGACACGGAAAATTGCCACTGGTTTTGCCACTCACTTATGATCCGTGATTTGGTAACACTTGAAGCACCGTTAGTTATCACATATTTGACGATCATAGAGTCAGCTGAACTGATGGATTCATCTGCTTCTTCATTAACTCGAATTCCAATATGTGATGGATTCCAAATGAAGATTACCTCATTATTAAATGTTTGTATATCAATCAGATTTTGTTTGATTATTTCTGAAATGTGATTCTCTAGGTATATTTTTCCTATGAATTGTAATGAGTTTAGCGAAATAATCGAAATAATGTATTTCTGTTGTGGTGAAGATGTAATATATGTGAGTTCTCTGTATGTGGCATATAATTCTGCATTAAGAATACTATAGTGTATTGGCAATTTATATTTTTGGCACATATTAGAAGATATAACTGCTGCTTTCACGCCACCTGTTGATTTTGAAGCAAGCTATTTGTCCAATGAAGTTAAGGTGGTAATTATTTTAAGTCCTCTCAATGTCCATGGTGCAGCAGGTTCTAAACTAACAGGAAAGCAAGGAGGTAAAGTGGTGTTAAGAGATGAGAGATCAATTTTGAGTCCATTTTTAGTCCTCTAAAGCTTGCACATATATTGCAAGATAGCCTAGAGATAGCCAAAGATAGAATATTACTAAAAAAATATAAAAACAAAAATTAAAATAGCTAAAACACAAAGAAATAGAATAAATTAGAGAGAAAAAATTTGGATGCATACATAAACTAACGAGTTGTATTTTATAGACCATGGATAACAATAAAATCAAATGTAATGAGGGAAGTTACATCACAGATATTTACATATTAAGGAAAAATGTCGTCTTAACGTGTTATTATCTTATGTTCTGGGAACATTGTAGCACTTAATTCAATGCACGATGTCAACTTCAATCAGGATTTATTAATTAGGTTCCTTGACCGCTGGCGGGGCTGATGATAAACCACATTAATTTTAATAGATAATAATGCATTCAATGTAAGCATCATTGTTTTGTCTCTTCTCTTCGTAGAACCTTTAGAAATATTGATACGTCAACTATCTTTGTCGTGCTTTGCATGTCTTATAATATTACATTATGTTTGAAGAATTGTGGAGAACTATATTTCCCACAATATTTTTTACGCTATACGAAGCGTACACCAAATATTTTGCTCACACTTTTCTATTCATTTTTATGATTAACACATTTTTATATTCAAACAAACCAATCGTCAATCAGAAATGAGATTTTTGTATAATTCGATCGCCTCTTATGGCGTCTTAAAATGTTCACTATTAAATGTAGAAACTATTTTGCAGATTTTGCAAAGAATATAATCTATGTATAATAGATTAGATCCTTTTTCAAAGTTCCTAAACGGAGATTATACACGTGGAAATATCCAACAGATACCCGTCGTAATATTGTAAGAAATTAAATTGACTAAGTACATAACCATCAGTGAATGCTACAGAAATGAGGTAAAATATGTAAAAATTTTTCCTGGTGCTGATGTTCCATCTGACTACAGTCGGCTGTTGACCGAATTAAAATTAAAGCTTAAACGGATAAAACAACAGCGATCTTCTAACAAAGTGGATATGAATTTTACTAGACACAACAGTCAGACACAAATTAGTTGAATTAGACGCAAATGTGCGTAACAGACTCATATGCGCAAGTAAAGATAGGAAGCAGAACATCGATGCCATTTGGTATAAATTCAGGACAGCGATACCACTTGTCACCGTTGCTGTTTAATTTTGCTTTAGAATATGCAATAAATAAAATATCATGTGAACTGACAGGAGGATTTGCTGATCAAGGATCAAAACTGTTGCTGGTCTGTGCTGATAATATAAATGTGAAACAGGTAGTCTGGGTCTCCGAATAAATGAAGAAAAGACGAAATACATGGTAGTAACCAAAAATCCAAGACCAAGAGTTAGGCAGAACATCAGTATTAATGATCACAACTTCGAAGTAGTAAAGGAGTTTAAATACCTGGGGGCGATAATCACAGCTGACAACCACATAGAAAACGAGGTCTCAGCAAGGATAACTGCGGGAAATAGAGCATTATACTCTCTTTCAACATTATTAAGATCGAAGCTGCTAAAAAGAAAATCTAAATTAACACTGTACAAGTCGATTATTCGCCAATTATTACATATGGCAGTGAAACATGGACTCCATGAACCAGTGGGAAATCAATAAGCTTCTAGTATTTGAAAGAAAGGTTCTTAAAATAATATTTGGCCCTCAAAGAGATGGATTCACAGGGGATTGGAGAAGACGCCGCAATGCTGAATTGGTGACTCTGTATGGAACTGAAAACATAGTTAGTCATATCAAGGCAAACCGAATAAGATGGGCAGGTCACGTGGTACGATCAGAGGATGACAGAGTGTTAAAGACAGTGTTTTTTGAAAGACCAGATGGTAGAAGATCAGTAGGCCGACCGAGAATAAGATGGAAGGATGATGTTGAAGCCGATTTATCTAAAATTGGGATACAACAATGGGAAATAGATGCGCAAGATCGTAGAGGATGGAGGGCGATAGTGGATGCGGCGAAGACTCAGCCCGAGTTGCAAAGCCAGTGAAAAAGAAGAAGAATAACAGTCAGGTGATTTTAAACAATTTAGAGAGCAATTTTGAGAATAACAAACAACTTGAATATATCGAGGGTCATTGGAACCAAACCAAAACGATTATAAACAGCTTAACTCCAATCTCGAAAAAATCAACCAATTGGCAGAAGAAGTATCGGACGACCGCGCAAAAGATGGACTGACTCAAGGTATTAATCCGCTTATAAAGAGGAAGAAAAAGATAAGAAGAAAAAGAAAAAAGCAACAGTAGCTGAAAGATGAGATTTGGAATCTAATACTGATATAAACGAATTAATAAGAAGATAAGACTAAAATATGAGCTGCCTGCAAAAGAAACATACTTCGAAAAGAAATATTTGGAAATTGAAGAGTTACAGGGAAAACATAATGCATTAAATATGTATAAAAAACAAGTAACGGGTCAATACAAAAAACAAACAAATAACATCGTTGATAGAGACGACAGACTGATTATCGCTGATTTGGATAAAATAGACAGATGAAAAGAATACATTGAGGAGCTATTTAATGGCAAAGGGCACGAACTTGAAATTAAAGAAGTAGTGAATATGGACGAAATTAAATCAGCAAAGATCAAAAAAGTGACGGGACCGGATGAAATACCGAATGAAATAATAAAGCTCTTCGAAAGTTCAGGTAAAAGATCTCTTCTTCACATTTTTAATTAAATTTATGAAACTTACTATTATACCAACGGATTTGCTGCTTTTATCGTCTTTTGTGACGATACCTAAACAGGCATATACGAAAAGATGACTACCGACCCATTAGCTTGATGAGCCATGTTTTAAAAATATTTCTTCAAATTTTGCACTAAAGGATGTACCAAAAAATAGAAGAACAACTTAGTGACACTCAGTGTGAGTTCTGCAATAACTTTGAAACCAGAGAAGCACCATTTAGTATTCAGATTATGGTACAGAAATGCAGAGATTTCGGCCATCCAGTTTATATGTGTTTTATAAATTTGAAAATGACTGTTTGGCGTAAATTATTGAGTTCATTATTTATATATTTTGTGTGTTCTTTTTCACCTGGAGCCCTAGACATCACTAGTATCGCTATGACATGTTTTCGGTAGAGATACATTGTTTCTTGCATTACTGACTCTTTTTAGTTGGGTCGAAGTCGAACCGTGTCAATATTGTCAGTATTGCAAGTTTCTATGGAATACCGGCACTTTTGAGTTGTGCCACTATAGCTGACAATTTTAGATATTTTCAAATTGTATCAGTGAGAATTTTGGAAAAGTTACACATTAAATAAAAGGTATAAATTTATTGTTTTAAAAATGTCAGATCCAAAGGGTTATCAGAAAAGAAGTGTCCAATCTCGAGCAGGAGTAACGTAAATAATAATATCAATATTATTTTAACCTAATATTCCAAATAATCGATTTAGAAACTAGAGGATTTTTTGTTTACATCTACATCTACACATACTACATCGATGCAGAGGAGCAAATAAGTATGAAATTGCTATTTTTGTAATGCAAGAGATTTATATGTTTTCTTCTTAGTTATTGGTCAATTTATCAAGTTTCTGACAAGCTGATTTCTTAATATTTGTTTTTTTTTCTTGTTTTAGGTAGCAGTTGTAAATTGGTACGCATCCCTTCTAGAAGTTCGTTTAGCTCTCAATCTCCTAATATTGTTGATTCTAATGCGGACCTTCATTATGTGAATGATTATGATGATGTATCATCTACATGTACAGAGGTCTCTGATAAAAATGTGGAGACCGAAGTACCAGAGGACGTGACGATTAATCAACATAAAAGTAGGAAAAGGAAAGCTTGTCCAAAACAACGGAAAAGAAATTTCAGAAAGTTTCTTACAAATTCAGGTCAAAAATACACCAATGTTAACGGTAATCTTGTACAGGCTCGCAGTTTAGGTCCATCTTGCAATCCATGTAAACTGAAATGTAATGAAAAATTCACGTTACAAGAAAGTACACAGATCTTAAAAAATATTGGTCAATGGGAAATATAAATTAACAACAAAGTTATATTCTGAGATCTATTTCTATAATTAAACAAACATATCGATATGCAGATAAAGGTAACACATCAATCCGTGGTTACAATCATGCATTTTATTTAGAAAACCGTGATCAGAAAAAAATTAAAGTGTGCAGAAGATTTTTTATATCCACTATTGGAGTTACTAAAAGATGTATTCGGACTGTTATTAAGAAGACGGAAAGTGGCTTTATAAGCAACGATCAAACAGGTAAACATAGCATGCATAAAACATTTTGTAATGAAACTATGAACTATAGCCCTTATTATGAAACGTCCAAAAGAATTAATTGATCTCATCCGACTGGTTAAAAAGGAGTCAAATATTTGGTCTATATTGAAACATATCAAAGAAAAAAATCATGGGAAATCAGAGGCAAAGAAATCAGTGGAAAGGCAATACAACAATAATCCACAAATAACTAAAACTCATACTTATAATCTGGTCAAAAATCAGGACACTGCAGTAGTAAATAAAAAGTAGTTGTAATATAGCACTTTGCTATAATGCCAAAATATGAAAAGACAACAAAATTTACTAAGACAACAACACTACTATTAAGCAAAATTGTTTTATCAACTTCTGATCAACGGTTGTCTTAATCTTCTAAGTCTTAATGAACTGTTTAATATTCTCAATACTAACATGAACCATACATGGCATCACGACTTTCAGTACATTCACTCCAACGGGTCAAGACTGAAGAGTCTTGAGATATCCATAAACTTGAAAATGTGCAAAAAGAAAAATCTACTAAACGTTCATAAAACCGTCTTGTATAATGTGGCTGTCATTTATCGCTGGAATTTTAAAACAAAATAGCTTTTAGGATCATCAAATGCAGACAGCAAACACATCGATCTAGCTTATAGTCTTGAACTTTTTCTTTGAATTTTTACATTCCGCATTAAAATGAGTGTATTATGACAAAATATTTTTAGATCTTACTTTCCGCTTAATATACTTCCAGGCAGATATAAACATCACATTCCACTGGATTCAACTTTTAATTCCTCCTAATTTATATAACTAATTAAGAATCTGCAAATGAAGACTATTTCTAGTGACAATAATTTACACGAGAATGAAAATAGAAACAAAAACAATAATTTAGATTTGGCGACGTTTGCCACTGGCACACTCCCAAGTTATTTCTATCGCGGCCTGAAAGCCTCACGTCTTTACCCCGTTCCGACTCCCACAAATCATCGAGAAAAACTCCGCGGACTTCTTTCACTAGCCATGTAGAAAACTAACTTCATAAATTACAGCTGGACAACTTAAAAGTTTGTTTTTTTTATTTGGATATATTTATTACTTTGTCGTGGTGTTTAGAGAAACGTTATTTAGTAAGTTTTAAATGAAATATATTCTTTGAAGTGTAGATAAAACTTTATGATTTAATACTATTAAAAGAACTAATTGACAAAATAATTACTTTAGACTTCATACTTCATGGTTCTACCATGTAAATCTAACACAGCGTTACGTGAGACATTAGGTATGATTAACAAGCTCAAATGCGTGCAATAGTGATAAATGAACAAATGAATAAAAAACTTCACAAGAATATTACATGTGGTACAACAGTATTAACAAGTTAACTCAGATAATAATAATTTATGATATGGTGATATTTTCTTTAAAAATTGAAGAACTCTATGTAATGTGTTTATGTCTAAGAGTAGCTCAAAATGTAGTAGAGCTGCATGTGAGTTTTAACTCTATAGCACTGTATCGATGACATTCAGAAACAATGTGTTTCACTGTTAGTTGGTGTTAGCAGGTTTGGCAGCGAGGACAGAGATTTGATGTCATCAGAAAACTGTGTTAGTTTGATGTAGCTTATACCGATTCTTCATATGAATATAAGGTCTTGTCTAGAGCGTCCTGTGGTGCCAGTAGATTAGATTACGTTACGTGAGGTTGTTGCCATGCAGCCTTAACGCACTTAGACCTATAGAAACCTTTTGTGTACACAAACTAGTGGAATTAAAGGATGCCAATACTTCTGATGAAGTTGATTAGCTTCCTAGGTGACTTGTTCCCTGTGTCAGAAGCCTGAGCTGAACTCTTCTAGAAATTTGCAGAACAGTGCTACGCAGTCGCATAGATATGTTCCGCCGTTTTTTTTTTTTCGTTCTTACAAAACTTTTTGGGATCATATCCTCGAGAGCAGTAACCATTGAGAAGGCTATTTTGATATCTTTTTTACTAATTTCGAGCAGGCGGTTTGTTGCAGTAGGCGACACTTTTATGAGCCTTTTTACTTGCCTTTGTGTCCTCGTGTGTTAGACCAATGTAATTTTAGTTGATTGTGTTTCCAGGTCCAGAGTTCTTCTCTGGTGTGGCTTTTAGATAGTCTACAGCAGGATTCTGAACCCTAGAATAGGGTACTTGCCCCTTCTTTTACGAGGCTGTTACCTCCCTAATTTTCTGCAATTCCCTTGTCACCTGCACCTACATTAAAGTTACTTTGTTGTATTCCGCTAGCTTCTTGAGGAATTGTTTACAGTCCCAAACCAAATTTGATTCACAAGTAAATGACTTTCGAGCCGTTAAGTGGGCTTGACCAGCAAGAACAAGCAAAACAAGTAACAATAATAACTGAAATATTTAATGAAATATACAAGGCAGAAAAAATACCAGTAGAGTGGCTCAAATCATACCATTGTCCAAAAAAAACTAGGAGCAAAAGTTTGTGAAGACTATAGGACCATAGACCATATGGAACAAATTGTGCCCAATCAGTTTGGATTTATGAAACCGTTGGTACGAAGAAGCTTATTAGCGTGAGGTTTATTTCAGAAGTATAGAGATGTCAGCTGTGATGTTTTTGCATGTCTGATTAATACAAGAAAGCTTTAGATAGAGTCAGGCATGAACAAATAATGGAAGTGCTGAAGAAGGACAGGGATTGACGGAAGAGACCTAAAAATAATAGCTTATATGTATTGGAATCAATCAGCGGTGCTCCGAATAGATGGAGAATATACAGATCAGGTCAAAATCTTAAGGGGAGTGAGACAGGATCATAATTTCATCACTGATATTCAATCTGTACTCGGAGCACATTTTTGAAGATGCTCTAAAAGATATTGATAAAGGCATTTCAATAAATGGAGCCAAGCTCAATAACATGCGGTATGCAGATGATATAATAGTGTTTTCCAATACCATAGAACTGCAAAATGAACAAAATAATGGAAACAAGTAGAACATATGGAACCAGCAAAAACAAGCTAATGATCATCAGAAAGGAAAACATAACTGGAGCAAATCTGTACGTGACCAAATGAGAATTGAGCGTGTCTCACAGTTTAACTACTTGGGAACCATAATCAATGAGTCGTGGGCTCAAAACTCAAGAGATTAAATGTCGCATCAGAAAGGCAAAAAAAATTCATTTTTGACTATGAGCTCTGTGTTCAAGAGCCGTGACCTTAACTAGAAACAAAAACAAGGCTCCTTAAAAGTTACGTATATTCAGTGCTTCCCTAGGAAGTAGAAACGTGGACATTAAAGGCAGAAACTCTATCAAAACTTTAGGCTTTTGAGCTATGGTTATACAGAAGTATCCTGAAATAGAATACAATCCTGAACCACGGACAGACTAGTCCGTGGAAAGTACTACGGAAGATAATCACAACCGGGGATTTAGTCAACATCGTGCAGGGCCGTAAGCTGCAGTACTTGGGATATATAATGAGAAATCACGGCAGATATGAGCTACTCCAATATATTTTGCAGGTTAAAATTAAAGGAAAAAGGGCCCCAGGATGAAGAAGAATATCCTGGCTTACTAAGCTGAGAGCATGGTATAGAAAGACCTCAACACAGCTATTTCGTATAGCAACCAACAAAGTCATCATAGCCAGAATGATCGCCAACATTCGGAACGGACAGGCACCTTAAGAAGAAGAAGTGGGCTTGGCTGTCTGATAAAATAAAGACTTTTGCCCTACGAGTGTCTCTATAATGTTTATAGCATGTATTTTTGTCTGAAAGATAGTTGAGGCGTTTGCAAGAGAATTGGATAGCCTGAAATTGGGCCCAACTCCCACTTCTGATCTCTTAGATCCATCCGTATACCATACATGTCAATCTTTTTCCAATTTCAGTTCGATTTCTTCACCCATTTGGTGGTTTTTGTGGCCGCTTCAAAGCTTATTTCGAAGTCGAATTTGACTGGCATGGCATCTGTCGACCTGTCCTTATAATCTAATGGAATTTCTTCCAATATTTTAAGGTATCCAACCAGATCTCCAGGTTTCAATATTTGTCTCTCGCAGTTTTAAAATGGTGGTTACTGTCTCCCTCCTTATGCAGAACTGCATGGGACGAAGGTTCAGCATCGCCCATTTTTTGCAGCTTGACGTTAGCTGTTTTTGTTGTATTTTTGTCCACCATACAAGTGATGCGTATGTGACCATGCGCCTAATAATCGTTTTTTATGACCAGAAGTTAGAAAGATTATTTTTGGTTTTAGGCCGCAAGTTTCTCCAAATGTTTTGGGGCTGGTCTAACTTGCCACCAAGGCTCTGGATAAAATGTTTTCAATATGATTTCCAGGTGAGTTTTTATCTATGTTACCACCGCATATTTTACTTCTTCGGAATAGTCTAATGTAATGCCATTCATAATTGGAGTCCATAAATTGTATTAACGTCTTCTTGTGAAAGGTATCAAAGTCATTTTGCTGAGGTTGGCATTCAAGCCCTTTACCGAGCACCAATTTTTAATTTCGTTAAGAACAATTTGCATGAGACCAGATATAGTCTGGTTATGCTTGCTCCTAATTATAAAAACTAGGTCATTTGCGTAACCTAAAATCAAAGTAATGTAACTTAGTGAGGAGATCATCCACGACCAGAGACCACGGCAGGGACGATAGTACTCCCTCTTGAGGGAGGAAAAAATCTTTCCACGGCCTTCATGACAACTCGGACCTGCTGCAAGACATTTGGAAAGACATGGGGCCTAAAACCTAAAATGACGCTCTGGTCATAAAAAACGATTATAGGCCTACAGCCACATATGCATTACTCGTACTCGTACTAATAAAATAATGCATATTACCAGTCAGAAAATCAGTAAAACCATCGGGAGAACTGGAAAAAGTTAGTTTACAGATCTATTTAATACAATGCGTCTCAACTTCGTTGACTTGTAACACTTAAAACAGTCACTGAATAATGGCATAAGGGACA